CTGCTTGGGGTTTGAATCCAGTGATGCCTGAGATAGTAATACCCCTGGGGTTGTACTTAGGGTGCCTCTAGCTAACAAGTACACGTAGTTGTGGGAAACTGCAAGCAGTGCTGCCAGGTCTGTCATCTGGAACACCTTTAAAGTGGTTGTACTGGCTGGGCGTGCTGCTTGTTATCTTATCTCTTGTATCTGAGAAAAAGGATGTCTGTGAGGCTTTCTCTCCTAAGTCTGAATTTTGCCAGGCCTTGTCAGGAGAGAGAGTTTAAATATAGACTGATGCTTTCTCCTTAAGCTCCGTGGCTTCTCGTGGAGCCATTCCAGCACACGGAGGCTGTTGGGAGTACCTGAAGACCCAGCAGACGGGAAGCCTTTAGCTTAACGCAGCAGCTTTGCTGTTAGATGAATCCTAGGTGTCCGGAGCTCCTGTCGAGTGGAGATAAGTTATTTAACTGCTCTTTTTGTACCTGTCAGCCCTGCTGGCTGGCACAGCGTGCTGCTAGTTTGTCTTTGAGTGGCTCTCAGGGAGCTGTAGGCCTACCAGGGGATGGCTGCTTAGCAATAAGGCAGGCCTGCTTTCTCACTTGGTGGAGCCTACAACACTGCGGAGGCAAGCCTGCACTTGAAGTATCTACTGTTTCTTTGAGCGTTGTTTATCTTGCCTGTAAGGCTTAAATATAATTAATGGAAAGTGTTCTACATTTAAAACAGGGCTTGTCAGCTCTGTAGAGCCAAGTTAGAGTATTGTTAGGGACTGATTCCCATTGTAACACAATTAACAGGCCCAAGACACATTGGAACAGCCTCATACAACGAGACTTGAGTTATGAATCTCAGTTCCAAGACCAGTTAGGTCGCATTCAAATACCAGGCTGGTAACCAAGGCTGTTGTCAGGGTTTTTGATATACAGGTTCCCATGCTTTTGTTGTTTTTGAGCTGTTCTTGCCCAAGTACGACACAATCTGCCATGGCTTAGTGCTCTGTGCACTAACTTGATTGTGATTGAGCAGGGGGAGATAAAAAACAAAAACTCTGTGTTAAAGTTTTGTTATCCATTATACCTAGTTGACACCACGGACTTCAGAAAAGTGGCTATTTGTATACATCTGTAAAATGCAAAACCAGGATTATGATTCAGTAGAAATAATTTTTCTATTGTTTACAAAAACAGGAGCAAGCTAAAGCTTGTACCAGTACAAGAAGACACTATTTTCATTCCTTAGTGAAACATTGCTGACTCCTGTTTTTAAAGGCTGTCATGCCAATTTGACTATTTACTCCTATGTTTGCAAATACTTTGCACAGCATTTTAGGTATGCAACTCACAATGCTGTGATCGAGTATGCAGTGCCACCCATCATGTAGAATGAGGAGTAGAATGCTGATTTTCATATTTTTCAAGTTCTTTGTTTTCTTGTTTGTTTGTTTTAAGATAGCTGAACTGCCAAGCAAGAGATTTGGATGCAAGGCAGATACCAGGCAGATGGAAAGGCCTGGCCCATTAACACTTTTTCTTTAAACCTTTTCCTTTCATAGTGCTATTTCTGACTGATGAGCATATTATACAGAAGCACTTTTTTTTTTTTTTTTTTAACTTAATGTTTGGTGAAAACTTGGTTTTTGTCCCCAGACAGAAAACTGTTTGGGGATCTTATGTCTGGATGCATCTCCCCAAGTCCTGTGGTCTTCACCTGCTGTGGTTGGGTAGGTAATTTTGGTAGGTTACCATTCCTTCTGGCTAACATAAGCCTTCCTGCAAAAAAGCAAGTCCCTGCAGTATGTCTTCCTCTGTGAGACCTCATATGGTACCTCTGTGCTCTGGAGATGTCAGCTATCTTCATTCATCAGAGCCCAGTGCCCTCTTTACTCTGTAGCAGAAGGTAGAACCAGAGCCCCTCGGGCTGTAGCTGGGGAAGTCGTGTCCTGCTTCCCACCCACCCCAGCTGCCCCTTGTGTCACTGGGCACTGCACTCAGTCCCCATTACCCTCACCTCTCCTGGTGATCATCCTGAATGATCAGCACTACAGGAGGTGCAGAAATGAGGGAAAGGTAAGAAAACCATCTCTGCTTTCTGAAAGGCCACTGGGGCAGAAAGTACTCTTACAGTTCCTGTACAGCAGTGTAATTGTAGACTGTAGCTTGTTTAAACTTTACAGTTTTGTCTGTTGATCAGTCCTTTAAGTTGCCATCCTACACTCAGCTTTCCCTTTTCTGCTGCCATAATCCTCTTTTTTTCCTGTTATCTGTCTCCCTTTATTTACCAAATCTCTTCAGTTCTTTGTTCTTTTCACCCCAGTTTTACTTTTATAATCTGAGATCTGTAGAACAGCATCTATTGTTTCTTTTAGACAAACTTCCCTGCTGCCTAGGCAAGGATTGCAGTACTTCTGTCTTGAAATTTTAATTTCAGACTAATGGACAGGACCTGAGATGCCTCTGTTGTTACCTGTTTCTTGAAGCTGTACATTAAACAAAACATGCATCTGATCAGCTTAACCTGTAATTAAGCATTTTCCTTAAGCAACTGACGTCTTGATAACTAATAATTATCTTGTGTAGCACCTTTAAAGCTTATTATGCAGGTTTATGTAAGAACACTATTACCATAATAATAAGATATCATTACCACGATGTGCATACGGAATGAGCATGTCTTAAAGTAATCATGCATTTCCATTAATCATACTTGAAAAATTAAAGTATTTGCTGTTTAATCTCTAAAATGCTACTCAAAAGATTTTGGAAACAGCAGGACCTGTTTACTGCAAGTCTCTCACACATCATATCTCACTTCTGCCGTCTCACTTCTGTTTCCTGAATTGCTCCTTATCTTTCAGCCAGGGAAACTGTCAGCTCAGAGACCCACAGTATCCCTTGAAAGCATTTCCATGCTCTGATTTTAATGCTGTTTGCCTTGTTTTTGTCCAAGGAGTACTGCCACCTTTTCTTAAGGCCGATGTGAAGTGCACTCCTCAAATTCAGTTCTCCTTGAAATAAGATAATTCCCTTAAACAAGATGGACTGATAGCTAATTGCAGTTCTGTTAGTCCCTTGCACAGGAAAACGGGAGGGGGGCAATGACACAATGCTGCTCTTCGAGTGCCTTGTGTTTTTGTTTTTTTTTTAATATAAAAGATTAGAAAGTTAGGGAGTGGAGTTTGCTGCTTTTATGTATAAATTTGTCAAGAGCATGACAGTTTGAATTTATTTTTCACATTTGAAATGTTGAGCTCTGTAGGCTTTCCATTTTTTTCTGGAAGAGACTTGATGACCAGAGTAAAAATTGGGAGGAAACGTTTCATCTGCTAAGAAATCTGAGTAACTGAAAAGATACTTTATTCATGCTCTTTTAAATCCAGTTAAAATCAAATATCCGATGCAGCTAAGAGCTAAAAAATAGTAGTGGGGCTTTGAGCAACCTGATCTATAGAAGGTGGCTCAGCCCGTGGCAGGGGATTGTAACTAGATGATCCTTAAGGTCCTTTCCAAGCCAAATCATTCTGTGTTTTCTATGAAAATATTTTTTTAGGCTTTTTATGGCTTACCAGAAGACTCCTATTCTGGTTGGTGTAATGTGATTCTTGAGTTGGTGGTGGTGCAGTTAGAAAAGGTGGTGCAGGTCTGCATGAAGTCTGCACCCTTTCTTTTTTTCTGAAACGTGCTCTGGGACCTGGTGCTCTGTGGTGGCCTGCAACACTGCTTCCCTGGGACCCCATGGGAGACAGCTGAGGTAAGGCAGATCTGGGGAGCAGGAGGATGGGTGGAATTGTTGGCCTTTTGCAGGCATTCACTCATTCAAGCAGAATATCTGTTTGTGAGGTTGAATCAATGCCATGTTTTGGTTATCTGTTGTAAAGATAAAAAGCATCTCCTCTTTCGGTAGTTGCAGATCGTTTGAGGAAAAAGGAGTACACGTGAGTCTGGAAGCCGCAGCTGTTTTATGACTTAATTATCGTTATCTTGTAGTCTACTTTGATCACTCAGGAGGAATTGAAACGAGATGTTCAGAAGAATGCCTTCTGCAGTTTTACATTGTCCAGTAAGGCAGATGTTCACCGCTGTCAGGCACCAGCATTTTCATTCATTCTCTTTGAATTCATTGATAAAAATTCATGTGAGAGTAGAGGGCTGAAAAACCTGCTGCTTTAGAGGGGCCATTCTTTTATCTGTCAGGGGTACCACACATCTAATTTAGTAAAATAATGTGTGTTGAATAAAATGAGCATCTCGCTGTGTATTTTCTTCTGTACCACTTGTCATTAGTAATCTGGAGCACAGAGAAGTAGTAATGTAAAAATGGACACGATGCCATACATCTCCTTAATACTTGACTTGGTTATGCAGCATGTTTCTTTATCCCAAGTGTTAACTTTGTTATAAGAAAATACTAAAAGAGGAGGAAGGAGTTTTTAAGGAAGGGATTTCAAGGACAGAACATCTTGCAGGAAGAATATGGAGGAAAAATTAGAATAGCAGAAATAAATAAAAGCCAAAGAACACGTACACGATTGGGAAACAGTGACAGACATGATAGAAAAGGTATGTGGATAAACGGGGCTTGAAAAATTGATTTTCTATCTATAATGCCAATAGTAAAACAGGTAGTGAGACTGAGGTTGCTGGAGTTGAAGATGTGTCAGCAGAGGAAACTGTGCGTCAATGAAATTAAAAGGAACCACGTATTCTCTGCCACGATGCAAGGAAAGCAATATTCTCTGTAACAAAGCAAGTTGAGGTTGTAGAGCTTGTCACATTCTTGTGGACAGTCACGTAATAGGACAAAAATAATTGTGCCTTCATGTTGTTAACCTCCCCTACTGTGGGAGGAGGCACATACACGAGTATGTGCGTGAAGTTAGGAGGAAGGACATGTTTCAAAAGCAAAGGAGAAAAATGCTTTCTGAAAGGGACGCAAACTCCTGTGACTTAGAGCATAACCCAGCTTCTCTCTGGTGTGTTCAGGAAACAAATTTCCCTGCAAGGCAGCTATTCCTGTATGACTTACCTGCAAGGCCGTATGAACCTTGCTGTGCATTGCTTGGGGTTTCTGTCTGCCTTCTTTTTTACTTAAGGAGTAAGGAAGATGTTTCCTCTGTTACAAAGTTGGCAACTTCTCAAATCGTCTGGAACTTAAAAAATGAAAATGAAAAGATCAATTATCAAGTTCTTGATTAAAAAATAATAATAATAAATTTGGAAGTACTTTACCTAAATAAATTTGGGCAATGTCAAGTAAGCAGCTCTTTAACATTTGAAACCCATGTTTACATTGGAAGCTGTTTGGATTTGTGATTTAACTTTAAGCTTTTTGGAGTTAAAAGTCCTAAAAATACCTTTTTTCTGTTGCTTCTGTTATTTCCTGTAAACACTTACTTCTTGGTTTTCCACTCTGTGGGTTGGGCGAAGGCAGGTTGCTGTATTTCATCCAAGTTCAGCCTTTAAATGTTGCGCTGTGCCTAAAACTGTGTAAGCTTCTGCATTAAATTTCCCTTCCCCCAGTTTTAAATCCAATTCCTTTAGGAGCAGGGGGGGAAAAAAAAAATTGAAGAGTCTCTGTTATACTGAGTAATTATCCCCCCTGGGAAATAGAATATAAAGATCTTTAAAATCATTCAGCTGAGAGAACAAGCACTTTAACTCGTGCCTCGCAGGAGTCATGTATTACATTATCAGCTGCTTGCTCCGGTGTCAGCGTGTCGTGCCTTGCAGGTTAGCAGGGTTTGGCAGAGGAAATGAAAGCCAGTCAGTTACTGCAGGATTTATAGCAGACCTGCTGTTGCAGGAAGTGGTGAAAAGTTGATTGATAGTCTGGGGCAAAACTCTACAACAAGAAACAGGATGTATGCTTGCTGGTTTTATACCTGGTTTCCCCTCTGTGTGGTGGTGTCCCCCCCCACCCCAGTTCCAGGCATTCCCTTGCTTTTTGTTCTGTTTTTAAATCCACGATGCCCTTTTCTGGTAAAGCACGTGCTGACTCCAGAGCACTTGAGGAAATGGATAGGGCTGCTCCAAAGATCAGGAGCTGAGGTAACGTGCCTGCTTTAGGAGTGGTGCTTATCTGAACGGTCCCGATAGCTTTCTTCACTTCCATTTCAGCTGTCGCACAAATGCAGGTTAAAACACAGTGTGTTGGACACCTCGTGGATGCACCAAGGTAGTTGAGAAGTGAAGAGAAGATATCAGAGAAACCAAGTGTAGGATAAATAGCATAGGTGCAGAATATTTTTCTCAAACTTTCAGACAGGAAAGATTGATTCCCGGAGGCCTGGAGTATGGCTATGGATTCTGTCAATATATCCTGAATTTTCTTTGTAACTATTGTCTCGTTTTATACTCATTTACTAACACAACTCAAATCTAAATTGTGTACGTTTTTCCTGAATATATATATTTTAATGTAGATCCTAGAAAGTGTGTGTATATGTTTTCTGAGAGAAGGTGAGATTTAATTTCAAATAACCTTTAAAAATGAGGATTGTTTCCTCTTTGTAGAGGAGGGGAAGGGAAGATCTGCCTCCTCTGAAGAGGCAGGTTTTAAAGAAGCCTTCAAAATTAGCAGAAGAGGGACTGGACGGAGGATAGCAGAGCAGAGCTCTAAAAGATGATTTCTGAAAATGCTTCCTAAGCAAAGGAAAAGTTTTGTGGAAGGTGGTCACCAGGCGCTGTACATTGGAGGGAGCTAGCATGAACTTCTCAGAGGAGAAACTTGCAGTTTCAGTTAAGAGTTGTCCTGCTTTTTGTTTGGAGTTGCAGTGCTGAAGTTTTCAATACAATTCAGTGTAGTGAATTACTTTTATGTATGAAATGAATGTCACTTGGTTGCATACAAGCAGAGCTGCATTCCCAGAGACTGATGATGCTCGTTAGGAGCGTGCCGTTCTGCAGAGTCAGCTTATTATTGACTGTCATTTGTGTTTCTTAGAGAGGTCGGTCAGAGTTAAGAGGTGGATAAATCTGTAACCAGTATAAGATTTGAAGGCATCAGATAGTTCTGGGAGAGTTAACGGTAAAAAATTAGGCATTTAAATAATGAAGACAACCCACTGAGATGGACTTGATCAACTCTGCTCTATCAGTTCATCTGTGTTTAGCAGACATCTGGAAGGGCAGTAAAACAAAATGATTCTGCTGCATTTTAACTTAATCCAATAAGCCAAATACTGCAGAGGTCACTGCTAAAGACAGCAACCCTGAAAAGATTTGTTCTGAGATCGGTGTTTTGAGAATCCCTGTGAAACCAGTAGTTTACCATGTATTGCTGAAACAACAAAGCAGTGTTTTTTCCTGAAAATGTCACTGAAGGCTTTCAGTGGGATATTGCTTAGCCGTATAAGAAAAATTGCTCAGAATAATCGTAATCACCAGTACTTTGGATACTTTTGTGTAACTTTTACAGTTATAACTGAAATAGGAAGTTGTTTGCAAACCAAGTGAATAGTAGAAATGTTTGATTTGTTCTCATTATCAAATGGGAATGTTCTGTTCGTAACATTAAATATGTTTTGTTCTTGTTTAAAGGTCAAAAAAGTTGGCTGCACTTTCTGAATCCTTGCAGAAAACCGCACTGGCTAAGTCCCACCTCGGATTTGAGCTGGAAGAGCTGGAAGCAGCAGCGCTGCTGGTACAAGAAGAGGAGAGACACTTGAAAGCTGCTGCTGCAGTTTCCAGGCAACAGCTGCCTTCCTCTGAGTCGGAGACAAGTGACTCTGAAGAATCGAGCAGCACTTCATCTGAGACAGAAGGCTCTGATTCAGATGAGCAAGAGTCCTCAGCCGGTGAAGATGGGAAAATAAATTCTTCACAAGGCGTGCTTCAAGAGGAGGGGACAGCTCCACTTATTGACTGTAATGGATTAAGGCAAGTCGCAAACACTTCGATGGTTGAGGTTAGTGATGAAAAATCAAAGGCTTCTTTGCAATCTATGTCTGTTCCTGGAAAATTGATAGAAGAATTAGAAAAGCAAATGCACACTGCAATTAGTCTTTCAGAACAGCCTGAAGAACTGGCTGCTGCAAGTTGCTTTGCTTTACGGGAACAAGAAGAAAACCATGTGTCTGAACCTGACAAGTATTCGGAAGCTTCTACTGGGAAGGGAAATTTCTTGGAGGTGCCTTCAAAGACAAATCCTTTGCTTTTTCTTTGCAGTACAAATGAAGATGAAGACTAAGGGACCATGTTAGAGCAGTGTGACCCAATAGCAACACAGCTTGGTGCTGTAATGAGGTGTTCCCAAGGCTATGCTGAGCTGCAGAGAGAAGCTGATATTTTTCTTCTTTGTGTTGACAGTCTGGAGGACAAGACTGCTTTGAAAAGAATGGATGTGAATGTATGATAGCCTCACTTTTTTATTTTTCTTCTTTGGTTTTACAGAGTCAGGTTTGATCTCTACATGAGGGAACAGTGTAATTTCAGGGAACTTTTATATTAAAAAAAAAAAGTTTTTGCTTTAAAAAAAAAGTTTTTGTTAAGCTTGTTTAGTAGAATTATGTCCTTAATCACAACTGAAGTCAGTTGCAGACTCATTAAAGATACCTTTAGATGTTGGCATTTACTTGGAGAAATACTCCTGTTACGTTTGTATTTCATGTTTTCTGCTATTTTCATTTTGAAATGGTTCGTAGCTAACCACTTCAAAAATGGTTATAATGTTAAAAATGTAAATTCTGTTAATAAGATGTTTCTATTTTTGTGCGAAAATAAAGGCAAATTTTTCAGTGCAAGATAGAGCTCATAGCTTATTTCTGCAGTTCTTAACACATCAGAAGTGCTGAGGTAACTTCACTCTTTCATCTAACTTGAAATGTTTCCACACGTGAGCACGGCTACTGCTTTTTCATTAAGTCCTAATTATTATTTCTTCTGTCTGTGTATGCTCTTCTCACTGAAGTAGTGTTAACCAAAATGAAGAAACAACATCGTGCAGTGGTCTTTAGTACAGGACTGCAAGCAAACCTGCTCTGTCTCAACCCAGCTTTGTGACTTACCTGTTGAACAGCTCGGGAGGAGCAAGCTGTGAGTGAGGGACCTGGTCTAGTGGGAGGTGTCCCTGCCTGGGGCAGGGGGCATTGGAAGGAGGTGATTTTTAAGGTCCCTTCCGCTCCAAACCATTCTATGCTTACTTTTCAACCTTTTTATTATTATAAAACATAAAAATCCTGTGCTTGAAGACTTGTTCTTCCCCAGTGCTCTGTACCCTGCTGGAAAGCAGCAGGCTAGTTCTGTTCAGTTCTGTTCCTCTGCCGACTCCTTTTTGGTGAGAACTGCAGCCCCGACCTGCTGCTATTTTTTATGTCCTTAAATACCTACCGGTCGCTTAATTAGCCTCTGTGTTCCATTCCCCAGGGGAGGAACCTTTCCCATCATGTCAGGGAGCACTTACTCTTCTAAATGCTAGCAATAAAATCTACGCTGTAGCTGCAATTACGCGGTGTATGTCTGAGTGAAAAAATGTGTTTAAGGGAAAAAAGTAGCCTTCCTCCCTCCCTCCCCAGATTACAGGTGTGAACACAAACTTCCTTCAGTTGAACATGGGCTGGAGAACCTTAAATTAGTGTGAGTTAGGAAATATACACCCTACAAATTAATAGGCATTTGTAGTATCCTGTATCTTCAGCTCTTTTTTCTTCTCCTTTTACCAATTTTGTGGACAGACTATTAAAAGTACCTTTTTCCAGTAGTCCCATTTAATTTGTGGGGACTGGCTGTCAAGTAGGGAAGACAACATATTTAGTTTATCTACGTGTTCTTTCCCCATCTAAAAGCATGCTTTTGAATGCCACTTGGGAGCATTTTGCATGATGTCTGTGTGAATCCCCTTTGGGTGTCAATACCTTCAGTGCCCATAGGACATGACACTGTGATGGAGTCCGGATGAGAACAGGATGCACACACGTTAACTCACAGAGCTTTGATGCCATCAGGTGTGTCCTCACCTTTGAGGCCTTGTACAGGTGAGCTCTGTTTCTGCCTCCTAAAACAGTAACAGTGCCTGTGCTGTTATTGCAGGTCTGCTGCGTGCTGCCTGTCCCTCTGGCTGTTCCTGCTGCTGCTCTGTGTGCCTGCACCTGGGGAAATGTGCTGTGTTGTGGGTATGCCAGGACCCAGTCCTATACCCAAGTAACTTCCACTTGGGGTCATTTTGATGTTCATCACTGCCTTTTTCCAAAATCCTGTTTAGTGGTTGTGGAACTGACAACGAATGTTGATTTTTACATTGATTGGCAATTTTACAACCGCTGGAAGTGACTTTTGCAGCAGCAGGATACGAAGCTTTTCCTTATTAAGGGATGAGAATTCCCTGTGGCTGTGTTACCCAGCGTGTCCATGTGCTTGGCAGCAGGAAGGGGCAGCACTGAGCAGCACGTGCAGGGCCAGGAACAGCCCCTGAGAACATGCAGATGTGCTTGGGTTAGGCTGGTTGATGTGCTTTAGGACTAGGGTTAGGTTTCTGTGCTAAGAGCAACAAGTGGACTACTGGAAACAATCAGATAAAAATTCTTTTCCTCCTTATTTTCTTTTGGTGGAGACAATGTCACCCCCGGGACACTGCCACCTCTTCATTTGTTTCCTGAAAGAAAAATACAGAGCTGAATTGATTTTCTTTTCTTTTCTTTCCTTTTTTTTTTTTTTTTTTTTTTTTTTTTTTTTCCCCTCTAGCCAGCTTTCTGAAAAGTTTATAGAGACTTTGTTCTATGTCAAAAGAAGAAAGCATCGATTAGGCTTGATTTACTACAGTCAGTGATGAATATGGCAAAGAAATTGATTCACAGCCCTGGAGTGAAGGGGCCGGGCAGCCCCCGCCACTGGCACAGCTGAGCGGTGTCAGAGCTGGGGCTGATTGTCTCAAGGCTGGAGAAAACAAACAGGGAAACACATGTCAAACAGATAAATAGCTCTGCTGTTCAGAGCTCTCCGTGGAGGCCATTTGTCTCCAAGATAAGGAAGAATGCACTCCAAAGCTGCGAAAAGATAAGCCGGGGGAATGAACCGACCGTGGGATTGCTGCGCTCGCATCTGGTGGTGCTACAAACCCGGTGCCCCCTCCCGGGGTGTCCTGTGAGCATGGCAAGCGGCCTGGGTGAACTTGCAAGCTTCTTATTAAATATTTCAGCCGTGGATGACATTTGTAGCTCTCTGGTCAGCAGAGCAGATCGGTACGTTTGAAGGGTTGCTGTCGTGGAGCTGTCTCTCTCCTTTCTCGTGGTGAGTGGCTGCAGGCTGTGGTTACGCAGGCGTGTGTGAGGCACGATCTCGCATTGACAAAATAAATTGGGGTTGTAGAATTGTGGTACCCATAAATCAAACTATTTTTATATTCCTCGGCTTTGGAGAAGTGACAGTACGATTTCCACAACTACTGCGTTTGCAGACCTGGCTTAGATCGTATCTGAAATGAGTTTGGTAATGTTGGTTTGCATTTTATTGGATGTCTCGTGTTCAGAAGCCACAGCACGGCTCAGCACAGCGGACGGTGCTTTGCAGGATGCTCGAGGACAGGAACAAAAGCTGTGCGAGGGCTTGGCCGTTGGCAGAGCTCTGCTCCTTCAGCCAGGTAGAGCCGGGCAGTGCTTGGCATGGAAAAGCACCCCGGGTTTCGCAGTCCTGACCCACTTCGCGAAGTCACTTAGGGCCAAAGACAAAATCCTGTGAAAGTGTCAGAAAACAGCCCAAAAAGTCAGAGGAGAACAAAGAGCCACCCAGCAACACCCGAGGGCTTGGCCCTTTGTCCCGCTGTGTGTGGACAGATCTGGAAGTGCCCCCTGCCCGGCGGGACGTGTGAGGGCTGCCCACCATTTGAGCAGCACCGCGGTGCTCTGGGGGAAGGGCTGGGCTTCTCGGGCGGTCCCTGCACGGCCGTGCTCCAGTTTATAGGCTGGGATAAACCCCGCTGTGTGTGTGAGGCTGTTTGCAGCGCTGGAATCACACCCCTGGTGTTTCCTCTTGGCAGGCGGAGCCCCTTCTCTGAAGAAGCCAAGAACTGTAATGGCCTCTCCAGCTCTCGGCACCGCTTTGGCTTGCACCGCTCTGCGTAACGCCGCGTGGGGCTCAGCCCCGTGCTCCTACGTGGGCACGTCCTGCGTCCCACACCTCCCCTCATCTGCTGCAGGGGTGAGCCCACGCCAGGCTGCCCAAAGCTCCTCGCTGCAAGGGTTTTGCAGCCTTCAGCTGTGCCGTTCAGCCTGGTGCCAGCGGCGAGGTGAACATCAGCAGCCATCACCCTGCCTAGCTTGGGTGTGCGAGGGGCTGGGGGTGCAGCACGTGAATAGAAACGGGTGTTTGAGGCATAAATCACGTGCCAGGAGGAGAACGAAGTGCTCTGAGCCCTCCAGGCAGCAACCTGCCTGCGGCACCTTTCCTGCCGGTGCTGTCGCCGTGTTTCACCTCATGGCTGCGATTTTTGGCAGTCGGGCAGCAGCGTCCCGTTTCCTGCGGCAGATAAATTGGGGTTCGTGTTTTGCCTTGATGCGACTCCTCCTACTCTAATACGCTGCATTGTCCACTGATTTGCTTAATTACGTGCATTACCGCTGCGCCAGGCGCAGGGTAGCAGCGGGGGGCCTTGCGGGAGGAGGAGGAGGGTGACGGCTCCATCTGCTCCTCGGGATGAAGCTGGGGAGCGAGGAGGGAAGCGGGGAGGAGGAATTACCAGCGAGCAGGTGCCTCTGGCAGGGGAATCCCACCGCCAGGTGCTGACAGGCAGCTCTGCGGAGCTCCTCATGTGCTTAATTACCCTGCAGCGAGGCTTCCCGTTTAAAATTAGCGCAGGTGAGCGCGACTGGAGCCTTGGAAGCGACCGGGGAGCGGAGCTGTGCCGACTCTATTTCCCTGCTGAGACCCTGCACGTCTCAGTCAGCGAGAGTCACGTCCCACTCGGCGGAATTCAAAAGCACTTACCTGGAATGAGATGATTAATTTTAAAAGCAGAACGGAGAAGCGTAGAAGCCGCCAAGGTCAGAGCGTCTGCGCTGGGAGCCCACTTTGGTGGTGGTGGTGAGCTGCGAGACAGGAGCCGTGCTTTGTGTGGCAGGATTTGGTGTGAGGCACCAGCACGGAGCTCCTCCTGCCCCCTGCCCTGCTCACAGTGCTGCAGGACCAGCAGGGCAGGAGGAAGCGGGACAGCGTTGCCTGGAAGCTGGGTGAAGCCTCTGCCCCCCAGAAGGCAGTGATGCTAATGTGGTTATGCTACAAGGCTGTGCTCCTCTGGGACTCGAGTTATGAATAATTACACCATGTAATTATTCATGACCGTGTAAGATAGGCGTGTCTTGGACCTCTTCTCTAGCGCCAAAACAATACACTTTTGGAGCTTTAATGCTGTGCAGATATTTTTGGACAGAGATTTGGATGTAACCTCCATGAATTCTTTAAGCCCACATTTTTTTCCCCCCTCAACATATCAAAACTGAACTAGAAATAATATTTTTTTGTATCCCTGGTTACTAGCACAGGAAGTGTGGGGCTTAGGAACACGGTTTAAGACCATTTTTGCTTAATGGATTGTCAGCTTTACTAATTTAGTATGGACTTATATGGGAAAAAGAGAAACTAAGGAAAATAATGATGTACCGAGCTGGTGGGAGGCATGGCTCAAATTAATCCACAGAAGCAGGCGAGGTCCCAGAGCAGTCCATTAAAAGAATCAGTCGGATTTGGGCCGTCATGGGAAGATAATGATGCCCCTGGGCACGTCTGTGCCCGTGTTGGTGTGGATGGGACCCGGTGCTGTGGTGGCTGCTGCGTGTGGGGGAAAGCAGCCCACAAGGACATGGGCATCGTGTTTGGGGTAGTCCTGTCCCTCCTGGGCTCTGTCCCCGAAGCTCAACCCCATGTCCTTACCATACCCTGACATCACAAATTGTACTGAGCAAGGTGGGGGCACCGTGAAGGTGAGAGCACAGCACCCACCTCTCCTTCCCTCACAGCTGGGTTTGCATCTTGCTTTGGGCAAAGTGGACAGGATGCAGCTTAATCTTAATAATAATTGAAAAATAAACAACTGCCAACCTGCGAAACCCACCAAGGAGCCTGTGGAAAGGCTCTGCAAGCCACCAGCCCCTATTTGCTCTCCACCCCAGCCCCGAAGTAGCCCCCAGCAGGCTGAGGTTGGCGGGGGCGTCCCCAGCCCGCCGCCGAGTCAGAAGGGGAGTTTCGCTCTGCGTAAGCTGCTGCTGGCAGCAAGTTCTCCTTCTCTTCTGCCGTTGCTTTTCTCCATCGCTACGGCAATTAATTAAGAACAGTTGTGCTGAACCCCATTGATTAATTTGGCACTTGGAAACTTAATGAGGTGTGAACCTGCAGACTGCCGCACCGGCACTGCTGACGTGGTGATTTATAGCGACCGATGCCATCGGCACAGGCCCTGCCTCGCCGTGGTTCCTCCCCACGACCCGTCCCAACAGGGGACCTCGGTGCTGTGGCTCTGTTCTGCTGCCCCCGACGAGGAACGTGCAGCTGGTGCCATTCCTCGAGAGCAGCACCGCGAAGAGCCCACGCATTTCGCTCCGGAGGTGGCTGAGGTGAGGGCTGCCCCTTTCTTTCCCCAGGCAGGAATCACCCGGCCGAGGGTCCTGCTTGCTCCTGACTGTTCCCAGCCCGCCGTGGGCTGCTGTGGTTACTCTGCCGTGGTGATGTTGGTTATTAGTAATGATTAGTTCTGCAAATTACGCTGGATCTCCTTGTTGTGCAGAGCCGGGTGAGGCTGTGTGGGCCCAGCGCTGCCCCGTTATGCCCCAGGTGGTGCCAATGCTTCCCCAGAGCTCCGTATCCTAACAAAAAACACAGCTCAGAGCTTTGGGAACAGCCTCGTTGGTGAGGTGCGATGAGAAATAGAAGGAAAAGCTCCCGGGCAGCCAACAAACACGAAAATGTAAACCAAGAGCTACGTCCCTGCTGCCCAAAAAAGGGTATTTTGTGGGAAAAGCAGCCTGATCGTGGTGCTGCCACGCAGGCTTTGGTTCAAAAGTCTGTCACCTGTTGCTGTAGTGGCTCTGGGCATCCCTGTAAATGTGGTTTGGTCCTGCCCTGGCCTGGGGCAGGGGCTGGGGGCCGCCGGTGGGAGCTGCAGGCAGGGGAGTGCCGAGGTCCCGGCGTGGAGGCGGCCGCGCAGCTGCTGGGAGCTTAGCAGAGGGCAGTAAATCAGCCCCGTTAGCGCCGAGTGCTTTAAATCAGCTTAATTGAGTTCATGCAGCTTGCGGGGAGATGGCACTACTTTATTTTTTTGGCCCGATCAATGGAAAGGGAAAAAAAAAAAAGACTGAAACCAGAAACATCAGGAATTAAGCTGCACCAGAATAAACCCGTCCTTAAGTATTCTTTAAAAATGGAATGAGTGGGTTAAATGGATAAATGAAGAAGTCTAAAAAGCACGGTTTTGGTACAGCTGGGAGCATGGATGTGTTGTTACACAAGCACTTGGCAGCAGGGCTGGCCAGCTCTGTTCCCCCTCCGGTGCTGGCAGCAGTGAGGTGAAGCCCCTTCATGCCTGAGCCCCCCAGTACTGGGGACACACCAGTGGCACCAGTGCTCCCAGAGGGGCCACACCACAGGCAGGGCCTGCGAGTGCCAGCAGCCCGGCTCCGCAGGCAGCGGATGAAGGATTACGGTGATCAATTTGGTGAGAAGGGAGATTTTTCTCCATCTGTCCACCCTCAAGGCTCTATTTCCTCATAAACCATTCCCCGAGACATCAAGAAAATTGAAGCTGTTCAGAAATGGAAAAGATAGTTAGCCCAAAATGAATGAATATCCGATACACTGCCTGGCTTTCAGGAAACATAACGGGAGCAGGCAGCTGAACCGATGGCTCTCCTGCAGCATGCTGATTTTTTTAACACAGAAAAGCACTTCTGCAGCCCGGTGTTCCCACCAGCAGTGCTCACCTTGCATCGCACCGCCCAGAGAAAATCCCTGCGGGGGGCTGTGTCCCCCTCCCCAGGCAGCCCTCAGCCTCCTCCTCACCCTGCACAGCCTGTGGATGCTCCAGAGCCCCAGGAAAGGGGCAGTCCGTGATTTTATTTCTGCCTAAAATCATGTTTCTGCCAGGAAAGCTTCCCCCACGTGTCCTGATCTGTGTCTGTGCGGGCAGCCCCGCAGCATCCAGTGCTGTCTCCCACCAAAGTCTGGGCTGTGGCGGGGAGGCCAGAGCTGCACCCCACAACAATTGGGGTCCTTGTAGGATAGAGGCCAGTGAGCTCAGCCTGAGGGGATGAGAACCTCCTGTCCTACAAGTATACCCAGCCATGAGCTGGAGGTGATGCAGGAAGGTCACAGTGCAAGGGACAACAGGACAAGGAGGTGGTGGTGGCCACGACTCCTCACCTGGTAGGTGACCCCGTTGTCCTGTGGGCATCATGGGCACCGTCCCCGCCAGCCCCAACCCACAGCAAGTAGCAGGAGCCCACCTGTCAAAGAGTATTATTTAGGCAAATAATACTCAAATAGCTCTCGGGAGCTTTTTGTTGTTGTTTCCTCTAGTTTGGTTCAAAATGTTGTTGAGTGTGAGAAAACAGGAAGCGGTGTTGATAATGCTGCGGTTTTTTTCCTTTTCACAGACACCCTTTGAACTCCCTTTACTCTGCCTCCCCTCCAGTTACATTTACACACCCTATAAATAACCTTCCACTGCTTTGAAATGCTTTTATTAAGGTTAAAAAGTGTTTTTTTGTGTTGTTGTTGTTTTTTCCAAATCCACTGTTATTTTCTACATTATCTGCAGACAACCTCCAGAGCAATTATTATAAATGGCTTTAGGATTTAACCTGTTTCACTCTGTACACCACACAGGAAGGAGCGCAGTGCACAAAGCCACTGGGAGCCCACAAAGGTGATGGCTGGTGTGGTGCCTTCCTCCAGCCCATGTCCCCCTGGCAGCCTCCCCTGTGCCAGGCAGGACGAGGATGCTGGGGGCAAGCTGGGCACAATCTGTCCTACTGGAGTGGGTGTTTCTGATGCTGAGCTGTTTTTTTAGGCTTTCTTTTTAAGGCATGAACCCCGTTGGCACTCCTGATTTCCTGTCTTCACATTGTGCTACCCGTGCTTGCTTTCCTATGGCAGAGGATCAGGCAGTCAGGCTTTGGGACAGCACCCTCACGGTGTCTATTGGACTGCATTTCTCTTTCCTCAGTTTTTTGTTGTCAGACATCACTGAGACTGCGTTTGAAGAAGTGCCTGGAAAAAGTTTTGCCGTGTCCCTGGGAGCTGAGCCACTGGAAACCCAGCCAGGCCCATTAGCGCAGCGCTTAACGATGGCAGATGAAGCTTTCTGGAAGCTTAATGAACCAGGAGGTAAGATCACTCCCACCAGCCTTGCAGCCTAAAGAGGGATTTATCTCTGCCTCTTGTTATCTCATTGAATGATGAAAACCTTGCTCGCCGTCATCTATCTTCAGCCTCCTGTAACAAGACGCTGACTGCAACCCCCGTGGCGCGTCTGGGCGAGGGACGGGGCTGGTGACACCTCGTGTCCTGATGGACGTCCCTTGTAGGCACCTGCCACAGCTTCTGGGAGGCGTGGTGTCACCCTGGGATAAAATGTGGCCGCTCTGCTGGTATCGGGGTGCCAGGCTCTCTGCTTCAACCTTTCACATCTAACTTTTAGTGGAAGATGAAGGTTTGGTGCCAGGATGTTCCTCACAAAGCAGATTTATTTTGAGGAAAAGAAAGGAAAAGAAATGGCCAAATGGTCATGCTGGCTTGCAGGTCACATCATGTGGTGTTTCAGAATTTGGGTTCACTGGCCAAAATGTGTTTGTTTTTTTTTTGAGGGGGGGAGATTTATCAAGAAGCCACTAGCATGCAGTATTTAACTTGCTAAATCTAAGCAGAAGCAAGGAATGTCACATTGCCCATGAGGCAGGATGCACGTGCCTGATTCTGACCAAAGCTCTCCCGTGGATGTGTGTGTTTCAGAGCAGGTTGTCCTGCACCAACACCATGTCTTTTCTTTTCATTGAACACCAGGGAGGTAGCCAGATGCTTCTCAGTGATCCAGAGGACCGAAGGAGTTTTCACTCCTCTCCTACACTCAACTCCTGATTGCAGGAGCATAAATAGTCCATGGCAATGTGATGCGAGAGAGCTCTGCTTATCCTACCTTCTGCAGGGATTTGCTGGAGGCATTTCCTCCCGAGTCTGTGGATGAGGAGTAACGTTTGTAAAGAAGTTTCTTTGCATTACTTCTGACAATAACTTCTGACAATAAATAAAATTTTTTTCTCAGCTTCCTCCCCTCACCCCCAAATATCTTCATTTCTGTTCTCACTGGCTCCAGCCCTTTCCCTGTGAAACTCATAACTTACCATGTTGGCATCAAAGTGGAAGGAGGAGGAATTTGAAACTCATGAGAAGGAAAAAAAAAAGCACCTTAATTTTAAGTAATTGAATTACTTCTCTCTACAAGCCTTTTCTTTTGCTTTGTTAAGATCTACAGATATATGGGAAAAAAACAAAAACAAAAACAAACTCAACATATAGTATGAGGCTAGATAGTTAAGTCTTTCTCACAATTTTAAATAGAATAAAATACTCTCGTAGTGGATAGATGTTCCTTAATGCATTGAGATACATTCCTTCACACCCGGTTTAACTATTTTGAGGTGGACACTTCTGGTAAGGTGAATGAAAAAAAAAGATTTGGGGGAAAACGTCATGAATGCCTAAGAATAAACCCAATACTCTTGGAATATTTACAAATGCGTTGTGGTATTACTGGTGATGGTGCATTTTGCAGAAACTGAGTGAAGGAGGAATTGTTTTGACCAGCCTATTGTAAGCCTGGCAGGTCATTTTCTATTCTGTGTGTGGCTTTCGCAGGAGAGTGCAAGCGATGAAGGGCATTAGCTAAATAAGAGATGATTTAGTGGTGATGGCACTGTTGGTCCGCGTATCCCACAGCTGCTAAATTTCAATATAAACTCCATAACTCTGGATGCAGAAAGAAGCGAACATGCACAAGAGACTGTTTCTGAATATATTTTTCCCCCTCTCGCCAATAAAAGGCGCACATAATGGCATATTTTTCAAAGTGCAAAGCACTTTACATTGCAAATAGTTGCATTAAATTTACATTTCATGGGTGAGCGGCTGGAGCTGCCTCTTGCCACATCCTCGCCGGTGACAGTGCCGCAGTTGTACATGATCTACTGCCCGGCTGGGCCCGGGCTAACTGGGCTGGTGGCTGGGGGCAGAGCCCTGCCAGGGCAGCACAGAGCCTGCCGCAGGTACCGGCTGCTTCCTCTGGAAAGGTCAATGCGCTCGCCGGCCCTGTTTTCTCCAGAGATAATCCATGCACTGCAAACGCTGCTGCTGACAGTTATGGCCACCAAGGAAAAGTCATTTTCTGCCTCTCCTCCTTGGGACCTGCAGGAGGGAATGTGACCATGTGAGCGGCTGCCTCCCACTGTGGACAGCCTTTTGGTTCGTGTTGGTAAAAGTAATTTTAATTAGGTCCTTTGGGAGCTCACATGTTGGCACCACTTTGGCACCCCACCAGCCACGGACAGCCTTTCCGTCCAGCTCCAAAAAGCACAAAGAGGTAAAAATGCAGTGACCACAGCAAAAAGAGCCGTGAGGGGAAGGGCCAGCTGGCACGCTGCAGGGCGGGTGGCAGCAGCAGCCCGGCGCTCCTTCGCTGCCTCTTGCCGTGATAAGAGCATTTTTTTTCCTTCTCTTATCTGCAACAGCCTTGATGACTTTTCTGGTCAGTCCCTATCGCGACCTTTCCGCTCTGCACATTGTTTTATTTCTTGTCTCAAGGTCCATTGTTTGTCGTTTATCTGTGTTGGTTTTGGCACCTGTTAGCCCGGGGAATGTGCCTGAGTCACTCTTTACCTGGCGGGGATTGCTCCTCGTTAGTTGCTGTGCTGCCATTTACCCCCCGGCAGCCTCCGAGCCCTGCCCTGTGTGAGAGGCCAGCCTGAGCCTCAGCTGCCTGCTGGAAAATGGAGCTGACACGAGCAGCAGCCCTGAGGCCTGAAGGGCTCGGGGAGGGCAGAGAGATGCCTGCACCTCTGCCAGGTTCCTCAGCCTGAGATCAGCATTATCAGGGACACCCCTACATAACGACAGCGTTATTCCCTGTGGCATTTATCCTGCTGCCACCCCCTGCGCTCACACTCACGGACCAGGCCTCGTCGCAGCAGCAGCTGCTGGTGCCAAGACGTGGCTGCAGCCCTGCACACGCCTTTTGCTATTTGCCCTTTCGCACGTGTTTGCAGGCTCCTGGGAGGAGAGATCTCCTGGTTTATGGCTCTTCCTCTCCTCACTGTGCTGTGTGCTGGCTGCTGCGCTCCTGTTCCCCGTGAGCAGCGATGCAGTGGCACCGAGCCATGCCACATCTCGGGGCCTGCCTCCTGCTCTCCGTACTGCGCTTTCCAGAGTGATCCCTCTCTGAAAAACCTCAAATAGCTCCTTCCTAAACTAGTCCAGCACATAAAGCATTTAACTGTTGTGCAATTTCCTGGCGAGCCAGCAGGTCCCCTAATAAACGCGCCAGCGTTGCTCAGGCATCCTCAGGCATCCTCGTGCATTCCCGTAAGCAAGCAGGGAAGGCGATCGCTGCCTTCACCCCCGGGCAGGGATCTGTGGCACCCACAGCCCCCAGACCCATCCCAGGTGGGGCTGTCTGACTTCAGCCTCCACCACCCTGACACAACCAGCTTTTCTCCTCCTTGGAGCCATTTGCCCACAAGCCTGGTGCTGGTTTGTGGCCTGAAATCGGAACCAAAACCGGCTGGGGACCGAGCTGAGCCTTGGGCAGGGATGATGTGATAAAGCCTGCTGGTGCTGTAACCCAGTGCCCTGGTTTTGGGGCCAGACTTGGCCCTCACACGTTCCCCTGCTATATTTTTTGGGCAGCACTTACTGTGGGATGACCAATAAAAAAGAAAAGAAATAGGGTTTAAGAGCACATTGCTTCCCAGGTACCAGTGGCAAGGAACACCTTTTGGGGCAGTTCCTTTGGAGGGGAGCAAAAGGGGGGCCCTGTGGCCTACAGGTGGGGTCAGGACACTGAGGGAAAACAGCTCCAGGTTCCCCGCGAGAAGCACGAGCCCTGCTGCCGTCCCGTGGGTTGCCCGCCCAATGTGCCGGCCAGCTGATGGAGGCGGCCCGGCCGCGCCGCGTTTGAACCGGGAGGGAGGCAGGGCCGGGATTAAGCTTCAAAGGCTTCGGACCAGTTGCCAAGAATTTCAAAGTGGCAACGCAAGGCTGAAGCGATCCAGATTCGGGCTGTGTGTTAAGGCTTGACGCCGTGTGTTTAGAGCCGTCGGGGCTTCACTGCTGCGGTGGGGAGGCTGGAGCAGGCCTCCGGCCGCTCGGTCGGCTCTCTGGGAAGGGGACAGGGCCGGGGACATCAGCGGGCAGGAGGGGGCTCACAGGGCGTGCTGTGGGGTGGCACCAGGATCCCACAGCCTCTGTGTCCCCCAGTAAATGAGGAGCAAAGGACACGGCCTATGTGCATGGGGCCCTGAGCAAAGTCTGCCGAGGCTGAGGGTTTCTGCTGGCTCCTGGACCTTGGACCCTGCCCGCCAGCACACAGCCAGGCACGGCGGGGAGGCACCGTGCCCCACGTGTAACGGGGGGAGCCCGCGGGGTTCTCCCATCCACAGCACCTGGCGTTGTGTCTGTTGTTGTTTATCACTATTGCTTTTTTTTTTGTACTGAAACACTTAATTATGTTAATATGTTTTTATTGGTCAGGCCAGATACAAGCACATGGAGAACCATTGTTTGCGTTTCTGAAGGAGAACTGCTCGCAGGCCTTTCACAGCCTCTGAAAAGGCTTCTTGGATCTGACCAAGACGTGCGGTTGTGGCAGGATGGTTTTTGTGTTGTGTAACCTGTACCAAGCCAAGGAAGGAGCACGGCCATCATGCTGCTTCCACAGAACATGCAATGGAAGGATTTCATTCCCCTGGGACTTCTGGTAATGAACATTTGCTTAGCAGGGGACAGCACTTTGGGATTTGGCCGTTCTTATGCTTAATGCACCAGAAGGTAAAATCTGTTGGCAGACCTTCCCCCAGAAGTGCTCTCAAACCCCAGCTTAATTTATTTCAGCTGGGCACTGAGGTGCATGTCTCAGTCCCATCCATGCTAGTGGGACTTGCATGGGCTCTCCCAGGGAAGGCTGTGCAGAGGAACGTGCCCAGGTACCTGCCCAAATCCTTTGCTGAATCATATCATTACAGCATGAGCTGTGGCCGTAATACCAGCTGGGATTTTATTTGCTGATTGTGCGAGATCTGCATGTATTTTGTTGCTTTAAATCTGTGTCTTCTCTTTCCAGGCCTGAAAATCAATTCCTTTGGCTTGCCTGTCCTAGAGCCATTTGCTACAAACAGCTTTCAGTGTTGAAGGTTTTGCTGGGACACTCTATCTCATGAAGAAATCAATTGCTTTTTTGTCTGAAATCAGAAGACAACTAGTTAGCCGTACTTCCTTATTTTTGTTTAAGTGGCCATCACATCCTAATTATAGCTTCTCTTTTTTTTTAACTACTGTACTCAATTTACAGCCTAATTGCCCTTACCTTGTTTGTTTAATGAAGCCTGTATAATGATTCCTGTGATCTTCATGAAACATTACACTGGGATTTTATTTTTTACTTTACAAACTGTGTTTTTGTATTAATGTTTTATAACCTCAAGTTTCTAATCATAAAGTCATAAGGAGTTTAATTGATTTGAAACTAGCCATGCCCTGAAGTGTGTACATGTCAGATTGATTCAAATTGATCCAATGTGTTTAAATAAAGCTTGTGCCAAAAGCACGTAGCACCTTATGCTGCCAGATACTTGCCCAAAGCCCTCTGGTAACTTAATTATGCTGCCATCTTGGTATAATAAATTATTGACTAGAACACATTTTTCTGTGTGTTTGCTGTACTTTGAGAAGCCAGAGGAATTCCCCAGATCCCCCAGGATAGCGCAGGCACGGCTGTGCCAGCCTGTGCAGAGCCATTTGGTGCCATCACCGAGGCTCCGGCCGCTGCTCCCTGTAGGGCACAGCAAGTGCCTGGCTGCACCTGCGGGTTTTCTCACTTTCAGGTTTGCTCTGGCACTCTGCGAAGCTCCTTTTACCACTTAAATAAAAGAATCCGAGGTCGGAGAAGGTGCAGGGCCAAGCCGCAGTGCTGGTGGGTGGTTTCAAACAGAGGGGTCAGCCTGGACGCCCCCTCTTCCGATCCTGCCTGCTGTGGCCTATGTTTTTGTCTTTGAAGAGCTCAGTATTATTGATGGGTTTCTATTTATTCCGTAGTTGCATTAGATTTCAATAAAATAGTTACACATGTTATTACAGGCAGATGAGTAGGGACAAAACTGCTGAATAGGCTAAAATACAGCAAAGTTGATCACAGTGACTACTACCGTGCCCACTAAAAATAATGAAGTCGTTATGGTCAGCAGTTTTTTCCTTCAGGATCAGCTCCTGCTTCCCACAGCAGCTCTGGCCCTGCTGGCTGCATCCTCTGTCCCCTCTGTGGGATGCCACCGGGGTCTGCCCTGCACCAGGGGACTGCAGTGGGGACTGCTCAGGGGCACGATGCTCGGCTCAGATGCTTCACCATGCTCCTCCTGTGGGCCAGGAAAACTCCCTGAGATGGAGGAAAAATATACCTGGTGATGGACTGATAGAAAAAGCAGGGCAAGTTTTTATTTTTAACCATCTTGGGATTCTTTTTTAAATAAATTTGTGCCCAACAAATGGCTGAGCTGTGGTACGAGTTAATGTGAAGAAACTTTAAAAAAATCAGGTGAATGTTGAGGCACGGTAAATATTCCCTTCCCTCTGAGCCCTCATGGCACGAGGAGCTGAGTGACTTCTCTCCCTCCTGATCGTGGAGGTGAGAGGTTCTGACTTGCAGCCCTCTCTCTGCCCCAGGTAAAAAGCTTGATCCCTGCTGCTCCTGCTGCAGTGAGTGACAAGGTGAATCATGCAGGAAAGCATCCTCGGAGTCACGGGCCTTCGTGATTTGCTTGAGTCAGCAGGACGGGGCTGACAGCAGGGGTGTAGTAAAACACCAGAATGTTATCATTTAAGCACCTGATTTCCAGGGTTCAAGGTAAATTTCCTGTGCTGCTTCAGGTTGGGTTTTGCATGCTCTTTCCTATGTAAAGTGCACTAATTAAATGAGCGAACCTTCGTCTTCAGAGGCAGTGACGGGTGAATTCAAAGAATGCAGGAACCAGACCGATGTTGGCTTTCTTAAATCTAAATTTCCAGTCCCTTGAGAGCACGGAGGAGCTGGGTGCCTGCACACACCAAGCGTGGCTGAGGGGCTGCAGAGGCTCTGCTCGAGCATCACCTCTGTGCTGCTGCAGGCACAGCCATGGCTTGCTTGGCTGAAACCTCCCTGAATGCAGCGAGACCAGAGCAGCGAACGTAATTCTGGCTTCAGACAGCGCCACTTCCATCTGTTTCCCATCAGCAGACCATGACTGATGATCCACGGGGGGCTGCACCAGCGTCCTCTGTCCCACAGGGAAGCCCTGTGATTGATGTCGGTGAGAGCTGCAGCCACGTCGGGGCAGGGACCGGCAGTTTGCTGCTCTCCAGGGAGCTCCTGGGGGTGCTCAGGATGCCGGGGGCCAGTGCAGGACAGCCCCCACACCACGCAGGGACCGGCAGCAGCCCGGCACCCTGCTCTGCACGAGGCTGAGCATCGCTTGGCGAGCGACGTCTGAGCGGCTCCTCCTGTGCAAGGATCCACGGGGTGCTGCACATCTGGAGGGAAGGTGCAGATGAGCTCATTTCATCTAGATTTCCATCTTCGTTTTGGAGAACACATGGAGTGCCGGAGGAAATTGCTCCACTCTGCTGAAGGTGTTTGAGGCTGTAGTAAGGAAAGATGCAGCAGTGCTGTGCATCTTGTTGGTTTTGTTTTTTTTTTTTTTTTCCTTGTGGTGCGTTTTGTGCTGCTTGGGAACATTGCTTTTATAAACGCCTGCCACTTCTTTAACAGCAGAGATCCCCATAAGCCCTGCCTTAGATCATCCTCTCTGCAGGCCGAGCAGAGGCGTTGTGCACCGACCCCGGGCAGAATTCCCCACGGAGCACTAGCGCTTGGACTGCCCGCGCCTAGGTAGCCCTCTGTTTTCACTGTGTAAATCACACATCCCCGCACTGACTTGCTAGTAAAATACTGGAGCTCTGGAAATAATGTGCATTGCTCTCAGGAGGATATTTTTTATCAATTGGCTCATAAAAGTTCACCAAGGAATTATGCTAGTACCGATATATCTCTAACGTCCTTCCACCGATGGTAGCGTCTCTTTGCTATAGAAGGAATTGAATTTTAATTTGTTCCCTTTCACTCGCACAGTTTTATTTTCCAGGTGTGTATGTGGTGCTTACAGAGAAGAACGAGCCTGCAGGGATTTCGGTTCCGTGCATCTCTGCTCTTCGTGTCTCCGTGCTGTTGGCCGACAGCGAATCCCACAGACACTGCGTGTCCGTGCCCAGCCCGCTCCGTTTGCAGCCTCCTTCATTTTCCACGCCTCGCCGCCACCGCTGAGCCCCGGGGAAGGGACGGGATCCCCGGGGGGCTGCGGGGAGCCTCAGGAAGAGGGGCAGCGAGCGCCCTGCTGGTGCCAGCTCCAGCGCTGCGGTTCCTGGTGCCGGGCTGGGCGTGTGTTTAAGCCACGACCTCAGTGTTTGCAGCTGATGGAGCTGATTCACTCTGTAAACTCAGCGCTCCCTCCTTGCCCACACTGCGGGCAGGGCGCTCGGAGGCTTCAAGCAGGCACGGCCACGCTCGCTCCTGCGGGCTCCACAGCTAAATCGTGCAGCTGGCAGGGCCAGGCAGAGGTTAGGAGGGACGGCAGAGCGAGGACAGGATGATTTATCCCGCGGCGCTGCCGGGCAGGGGGACAGCTTTATCTCCGCGAAGCCCCGCAGCTGGCTGATGGAGCACAGCTCTCCCTCGCTTGATAAGCAGGCGGGCGGCGCGTATAATTCTTGCGGAGGCTTCCTCCTAGCCTAAACAGAGAGCCTGCAAACTTTATGCGCCTGGAAGATAAAAGGTAATGAGACTCCATACATTTCCTGGCCGCCTCTCCTCACCGACCTTTCAATTGCTTCCCAAATGCCCTCTTGTAACCTCTCCATTAGCAATAGATTGGAGGTCTTAATTCTGCTCTCAGCACAGGCAGTGCCCAGGGAAGAGCCCTGCAGAGCTTCCTCCCCCCTGCACAGCCCTGTCCTTCTCCCCCTGCACAGCCCTGCCCTTCCCCTCCTGCCCCCAGTGGGGTTTGCATCCTGGCCAGGCTGGGACCCAGAGCAGCTCTGGCACCGTGGTGCACGCAGGTGGGAAGCAGCAGGAGTTTGTAGTCCACACAGATGGAGGAAAATGAAAGAAGCAGGAGTGCATTGGAAACAGACCCTTGTATTCCTGAGGTCAGGTTATTACATTTTATTTATCATTTTAAAATAATGTGTGTGCTGCCCTTTGAAACCTGCTGAAATCCAGCCATGCCCGTGCCCTCCTGAACGTGCAGGAAAGAACAACTGTTCTGTGTTAAACAAAGATGCCAGCAGCTTTTATTTTTGTGGTTCAAAGCTGCCTAAATCTATTTTAAGTTTCCTGATTGTTTTAAACCAGCTGCTGCTGCTCGGCACCTCCACCTTTCATTTCCCTCTGGCTCTGCGCTCGAGCCTGTGACCAGGACCTCGTTGCTGTCGTGTCTGGGACTGATCCTGAGATCCTGAGACATTTCCTGGCTTCTGCCTATTTCTAGACCAGAACTTTGTGATTCCTACTCTGTCTTTCTGTAGGTAAATAGGCTGAGCTAAGCTAAATAAAAGGGTGAATGGCTACCCACTTTTCATGCCCTGTAGTTGTTCTGGAGCATGTGATGCTCAGGCAGCAGCCAGGAGGAGACCCAAACCTTCCTTGGAGCTGCAGAAACCAGAAACCAGATCTGTGTGCACTGAGCCCATGCCCTGCGAGCCCTCTGCCCACTTCCATGATGCTTCAGGCATCCACACGTGGTGCTGGACGGGACGGGATGCCTGCTGCAGGGTGGCTGCTGCCTCCTGGGGCAAGCACAGGAGGAGGCGAGCTGCCCGTGCTGCTCACACTGCTTCTGCTTGCTCCGCCAGCTCCTCCCAGGGCATTGCAATGCAGCGAGCCAAGTGCCACAACATCACCAAATTGCTATTGATTTCCTAGCAGGGTGGCTGAGTCGCAGGCAGGAGAGCTACTCTTTAGCTTGGCTGCGTGCTGCGAAGAGGAGAAAGGCAGCAAAGTGCCACCTGAAGACGCCGGGTGCCCGGCTGACCCCACGTACACCAAAGAGCAAGCAGAGCGGGCACGCTGCCTGGCTTTTCTACGGGTCTGTGCCCACGGCTCCTGGCACAAAGATAGGCGAGGAGGGCATGCAAGGCAGGCGTGCTACCCCATCCAGAGGGCTTGGGCCATGCCCGAGGGGCGTCCTGCCCAGCCCAGCCCGTGGCTCTGGGTTTCTGTCGCCGCCGTGCCGGGGCTGTGCCGCACCAGGGCAGCGCCTGTTGCTATAACTACAGCCCTCGTAAATCCAGCCCGCGCTGCCGCACGCGCCT